CCCTCCCTCTCCCCCCCTCCTCTTTCACACACACACACACACACACACACACACACACTCACACTCCTCCCTTCCCTCTGAGTAAGCCTGTAAGAGCTGGACAGGAAATTCTAGCCCTCTGGCTGGTGCGTGTGTGTCTCTCTGTGTGTACGTGTGGGTGGGCGGAGTGGTGCCTGCCAGATACAGGGAGTCCAAGCTGGATAAGAACTCTGGCATAGGGCTGTTCTCCGTAGCAGCGGCTTAGCCATTTATAGTTTGATGCTTGGAACTCCCCCCGGGGTGGGGAGGGGCTGGGGGCTTCTGCACAGTTCCTTCTGATGGACTCCATCATCCTGCAAGAGCAGTTAGTGGAAAAGCTGCTGTTACCTCGCCCTCAAACTCACCGGAGTCCTTCTGCCAAACTGAAGGTACCAGGATGTCTGCAGAGCGAGGACCGAACTGAGAAGGAGTAGGTGGGCGGGTGGGCAGAGGAGGGGGAAGAGAGAAGGGCAGCCCAGGAGAAGCATCATCTTCCCACCTCGGACCCTTCCAAAGTGCAAGGGAAGAAAAAGGTTCGGGATAAAAACGAGGGGCTCCTTGGGGCTCTCTTAGCTTGGTGGTTTTCTTGCAGACGTTTCATGACCCAACGGAAGAACAACAAAGAGGATTAGGGGACTGGAGGCTAAAACATATAAAGAAGGGTTGCTGGAATTGGGTTATATCTAGTTTGATGAAAAGAAGGACTAGGGCAGGCATGATAGCAGTCTTCCAATATCTCAGAGATTGCCACAAAGAAGAGGGGGTCAAGCTATTCTCCAAAGCACCTGAAGGCAGGACAAGAAGCAACGGGTGGAAACTAATCAAGGAGAGAAGCAACTTAGAACTAAGGAGGAATTTCCTGACAGTTAAAACAACCAGTGAAACAACTTGTCTCCAGAAGTTGTAAATGCTCCAACTCTGGAAGTTTTTAAGAAGAGACTGGGCAGCCATTTGTCTGAAGTGGTGTAGGGTTTCCTGCCTAGGCAGGGGGTTGGACTAGAAGACCTCCAAGGTCCCTTCCAACTCTTGTTATTCTATTTCTAACTAAGTAACCTCATCAGTGCTAGCAGGGAGTGAAGTTTGCGGGGAGGAGGAAGAGGAGGCGGAAGTACTGTGGGGTCCTTGGTGTTCTCTGAACTTGGTAGTTTTCTTGCAGATGTTTCATGAGCCAAACTAGCTAATGTCATCAGTGCTAGATCATCATTTATGATGTTGTCTAGTTTCGGTCAAGAAAGGGTCTACAAGAAGGCAACCAAGCTCAGGGTGCACCAAGGACGCCTTATTTCAACTCTGAACTAAGAATATACTCCTTTATTAGGTCAAAAACTGCTGATGGTTAGAATTGGCAAGGCAAATCGTAAGAGACAGTGATGGGTCAAGGTTGTTTTGTGGTTTGCATTCATCGGTGGCCTTCTGTGGCTGTGGGAGGAACAATAATTACTCACAAGGGTTGATGGTTTGAGGGAGATCTTCCAGGCTGTCCGAACAGAAGATTGAAGTGGATGTGGGTGAGGTGAGCAGATTTGTGCAAGGTTGAAATTAATCGGATAACAGATAGAGTTGGAAGGGACCTTGCAGGTCATCTAGTCCAACACCCCCCCCCCCGCCCAAGAAGGAGACCCAACACCATTTCTGACAGATGGCAGTCCAATCTCTTCTTGAAAGCCTCCAGGGATGAAGCTCCCACAACTTCCAAAGGCAACTTCTGTGTCCATGGGTGGATTGCTCTCACGGTCAAATAATTCCTCCTTATTTCCAGGTTAAATCTCTCCTTGTTCTGCTTCCATCCATTACTCCTTGTCTGGCCTACAGGCGCTTTAGAAAATAGCTTGACCCCTTCCTCCTCTCTGGGGCAGCCCCTCGAGGTAAATTGGCATCGCATCCTACGTTGGGGTTGTCCATGAGTTGCTTATGATCTGAAAGGTGAAGTTTGGGGTTAACTGGGAGCTGAAGTCCACCACATCTTAAAGTGGCTGAGGTTAAGAAACATCGTTTTGGGGGCTTGGGACTTGAGCGCCCATAATTTTTAGCTAGGATGGCCTTTGACAATAGGAATCAGACATATCAAGGGGGCACCAGATCGGCCAATGTCCATGTTGACATAAAAAAAAATAAAAGCTGTTGATTTCTTTTGGAGGCCACTGTGTACCAGCCTTGAAGGCAAAATGTATCCGAAAAAAGCTGATTACATTGCCATGGTTTGCAAAACTCTTGCTTTTCCCTGTAGCGAGCTTTCCCGTTGATATTTTTCTGGCACTCTGCTGGAAAATAATCTTTCTGCTTTTTTTTTTCTGTTCTTCCTTTGGGAAGAAGCAATCAGGTCACGTTGTGTCTTTCTAATCGCAAAAGATTGCGTTCTGGAATGAACGGCGTGGCCTAGATTTTTCTGCATTGTCCTAAGCATGCAACGAGGCTTTTTTTTTTGTTTCCAATTTTGATTTGCATTGTTGTTGTGTAAATCTAGCTGTGGAGATTTTGGAAGCTGCGGGGGGGGGGGCGTTGTTTAAGACTGTTGTGTGTGAAACGAGGGCATCAACCCAACACTCACTTCCTTTTGAGCAAACGCACGCAAAAAAGGGAAATTGCAAGTAGAAACTCAGATCAACGTTTGCGAGAGAAAAGTAAAACTGACAAAATGAAGCCATTCTGGCGTTATTTGTTCTTGCTTCTTGTCCAGTAGGTTGCTATACCCTTAACTAGGTTTTCAAGAAATTATGAAACCTCTGTTAGAGCCAGTTGCAAAATTACGGTATAACAGAGCTAGAAGGGACCTTGGAGGTCTTCTAGTCCAACCCCTGCTCAAGCAGGAGACCCTATACCAGGGGTGGGATTCAACCGGTGTTACAACTGCTTCGGTGAGAGTGCACCGGCTGCGTGTGCATGTGGAGAATTTGCGAAAAATCATTAGCTGTGCCGCCCGGACAGCTGACAAGGGCTGCGCGCGGGTGTGCAGTGTTTGAAAATCCTCTTCTTTCCTGCTTTTTCAACCTCAACTGTGCCGTGCAAAGCAGCTGAGGTTGAAAAAGCAGGAATTAAAGGACAGCCAAGAGCCCAGACGGATGGATGGGACAAAAAGACGACCAGAAGGTCATTGCAGCAAATCATTTCCGTGTCAGCTGCTCTACGGAGCTACCAGTTCTATAGAACCAGGCCGGGAACAAGATGGAAAGAAACAGGACTTATTCAGAGATAATGGGTAAAAACATAACTGAAAAAGAGATTCTGCAAAGGTACATAAGATTGTATTGTTATACTTGTATTAGAAATAATGTTAGAAAATTGGAACAACGTATGATTATAAAATGGGATAAAATACTCAGTGTAATCCAGTCTCTTCTTGAAAACCTCCAGTGATGGGGCTCCCATAACTTCTGGAGGTGAGCTGTTCCACTGATGAGTTGTCTGGTTATCCTTGAGTTAGCGGGAACTATGAATGGTGGGTCCAGAGCTTGTTTTCCAATGAAATAGACGTTTTGTTGGAATCTTCTTTTGGTTCCTGGGTTGATGGAAAGGACTAGCATACCCAAGTTCAAATTGTGTAGTGGCTTCCAGTCTCATTTTTTAAGGTTCATCTTCTTCAACCTGGTGGCTTTGAAGCTTGGTGAGCTTTAGCTGTCCTCATCCCAGCCAATACGCGAATTGGAAACATGGAGGAGGTTACCTAACATAGTTGGGGAAGGAAAGGAGCTGTCTCCTTAACTCTCTTTGGCTTCCAACTAACATCTGATCGGCATCCAGTAGTGAGTTTCCCAATTTGGACAGTTTCCAGATGTGAGGACTTCAACTCCCAGAATTCTCCAGCCACCATGGCCGTTACTGGGAGTTGAAGATACCTAGGATGGAAAATAGAAACCTAGTTTGGTCTAGTGGTTAAGGCACCAGGCTAGAAAGCAGGAGACTCTTTGAGTTCTAGTTTCTCTTTAGCCATGAAAGCTGGCTGGGTGACTTTGGGCCAATCACCAGGAGATGGTGAGTTCTAGTCCTGCCTTAACCATGAAATCCAGATGGGTGATTTTGGGCCAATCATCGGGAGATTGAGAGTTCTAGTCCTGCCTTAGACATGAAAGCTGACAGGGTGATTTTGGGCCAATCATCAGGAGACAGTGAGTTCTAGTCCTGCCTTAAGCCTGAAACCCATCTGGGTGACTTTGGGACCAGTCCTTCTTGTTCAGCCCAAATCACCTCACAGGATTGGGATTGTGAGAAAAAATAGCAGGAGGAAAGCATATTAGGTATGTTCGCTGCCTGGAGTGAATGATAAAGGCGGGGTACGAATTAATAAATAAATACTATTCTGGTGCCACTGACCAGCAATGTATCTCCAACTTTAGTTGTCCTCTCCTTTCGACATTTGATCTGAAGGCCCTGCCTTTGTCTCTTGAGGGGGCTGTTATTCAATGGAGAGGCAAAACTAGGAGTACGCACTCTGCTCCAGCCTCCATTCTCTGTCCATGAATGGAGATCTTCTTGGCCAATGGGTCCAGAGGTGGTATTCAACCAGTTCTGACCAGTTCTGGAGAACCGATAGTGGAAATTTTGAGTAGTTTTGGAGAGCAGGTAAATACCCCCTCTGACTGGCCCCGCCAACCCCATCTCTTCTCTGCGTCCCATTGAGTCCCAGTTGATTGGTTGGGTCTTCTTTGGTTGCCCTGCACAGGAGAATGGAGCTGGAAAGCAGGTTAGTGGGGTAGGGAGGGAAGGGGGATTTTGCAGTATATCCTTCCCCTGCCATGCCCACCAAGCCACGCCCACCAAACCACGCCCACAGAACCGGTAGTTAAAAAAAAAAAGAATCTCACCACTGAATGGGTTGTATCTCCTATAAGAACCAATCTAAGCTCCCAACTCAACTTGGGAGTAGCCAGCCTCAAGAGTTGACGTGATTGTTGTGCAAACTAGAAGGTCTTTTTTTCCCCTTTCTCGTTCTCTCCTTTTTTCTCTCTCTCCAGTCTGACCCATGGCTGCTTATCTCCCCTTCTCAGGACCACGAGAAGCAGTATGTGGGCTTTGCCACTCTGCCCAACCAGGTCCATCGGAAATCGGTGAAGAAGGGCTTCGATTTCACCCTCATGGTGGCAGGTGAATGAACCTCCCATTTAGGACCTTTTCTTAAAAGTATGGGTGTGGCTCTACCGAGATGTTTTTTGCAGCTTCCTGGCATAACAGTTCTGGGATGGACAAAGCATTCCGGCTTGGTAGATCTTCCAAGGTCATCCAACATCAATTAGGAATGGTCAGCCAAGGTTCTTATTTGTGAATAGCTTGCATGTTAAATCTCATCCTGGCTAGAGGTGGACCAACTGTGGTTATCCAGGGGTAGATGCTGTTTAATCTCCTTCCTTCCTTCCTTCCTTCCTTCCTTCCTTCCTTCCTTCCTTCCTTCATCCCTCCCTCCCTCCCTTTCTCTTCCCTCCCTCCCACCATTCTCTCTTCTGTTCCCTCCCTCTCCTTCCCACCATTCTCTCTTCTCTTCTCTTCTCTTCTCTTCTCTTCTCTTCTCTTCTCTTCTCTTCTCTTCTCTTC